AGTAGGCTATTCTTTTTTTAAGACTGAATAATACCTTTGAAGAACAATCATTAAACTAGTGTGTATATTACAATACAAAGGAATCTATCCTAGCATGCCATCAAGCATTAAAAAGTAGCGCTAGGCTAGTTGTACAGTACAGATGAGTTAACACAGAACACTACAAAAAAAAACTAAGTACAGTCAACATGTCACATAATGAAATGTTAGTATATCCCAAAATTCAATTAAATATTAAATGAAATATTTATCACATATTTATTTGACAATTCAAAAGAGTTCGATATTTCAGCAACTTACCTCTGGAACTAATCGACGCGCCGTAATGTAAGTGAATGATGTCCAACGCAATAGTCCACTTAGCTTAGGAACCTTCCTAACCGAGTGAAATGACCCGGAAGTCCCTCAGTGGCAGCCATGATAAGTGCCGTTCGAATTCTCTAGAATGAAAGGAAAGGAGGTTTCAAACTTCCTTTATAACCTCCTTTAGCTTAGGAACCACTGGACCTCCCTTACCGAAAGGAGAGGAGAAAATGCTGCCCCACAATGCCTTGCAGCCGCAGCATTTGCCGTCACACAACAGTCGGCCGTTCACGGAAACAAACGATTATGACGGAGAAATTATATCATGAAAGTTACGGTGCTTATTAAGCATTTTAAAACGTATGTGGTAAGTTGCCAAAGTGCTTTGTTTTGAACGTTCATCAGTATTATAATCAAAAAGAGAAATATGAACGTTAGTTTTTATTGAAATGATCAAATAAAGTCAACATTTCACAGTCTTTACTGAGCTGTGTGGGGTTTGTTCAACTTTTAAAAGATGTTTGAATGGTGATGTACACAGTGATAGATGTTAAGGACTAACGTTTATAATAAATACATTTGTATTGATTTTAAGATATTTTCATAGTTCATACAATCATACGTAGGCTATTGGGATCATTTGTATTAATGTGGACCGGAGGGAGAGGGTGACGAGCATAAGTTTCACTTTCATTTTTTATTTCAATTCCAACTTTGGTCATGAAGAATATGTTTCTCTGTTGTCCACGTTCATAAAGCAAAGTAACAGCATCAGAGCACGGTGCATACAGAGTCTCAGATGAGTCCGTCGTTCTTATTAAACATCCATGTTGTAGTCCGCTGTAGAGAAAACTGTAGTTTCCATAGTTTCCCCACAGCAGCAGACGCACAAAATGACGTCCGCTTGCGCGTCATAAAAACGTCGGATAGTGAAAATGCATTCGGATTCTCTAAAGTACCGCAGTCGCTTCTCCTAAGTCCTTTTGAATTCTCCTATCCACTATCCCTTAACCCCGTGACGTTTCACTCAGAGGTCAAGGAATAGGAGATAGGGTTAGAATTTAGGAGCTGATTTTTGGATTATCGGAACGCAACCCAGGGCAAATAATTGCAAGTCTCTTCAGTGCGCATGTCACAAAACGAGATACATTGTGGGACATGTAGTTTATGGGCAACCTGATTCTGTAAAGTGGCATGGAACTGTATAATAAACGTATTATATTCTTTGTAAATTCTTGTGGGGCCACATAAAATGAAGTTGCGGGCCGGATTTGGCCCCCAGCCTTGAGTTTGACAACCCTGCTCTAAGGAGTCATAAAGTCCAGAAAGGGTTTCCATGTTCTAATAAAGGTTTGAGAGGAGCTTTTGAGTGTGAACCTCATTTTCTCTAACTGTAAGAAGAACTTCAATTATTTTTAAACCGAGATATATGCTGGATCCTTTGGCTGGATCTTGATTCTATATAGATTATGAGTTGAGTTTACATTCTGCTGCCTCAGTGTGTGAAAGGGATGAATATGGCTTGATTGGCGTGAGTGTGGGTGAAAGTGATGTATTGTGTCTAAGTGTGGGTGTGTTAAAGTGACAAAGGTCTAATATAGCGCTGTTCTGTATGAAGTGTTAAGTTGTTTGTCCTTTCATGCAGAAAATGATGCGACAGAGCTGCAGCCTCTTTGATGGACGTCTGTGCACCGCCGGAGGAAACTACACACTGTTCACTTAACACAAGAGTTATTTTTAAAGTAAGATGTAAATAAAATGTATCTTATTTTTTTCTGTTGAACACCTTACTTACACAGAGGAAGGCAGTTTAATTATGAAAACTGTGTACCATGTTTACATTTGTATTGAATGCACATGCTTTACAGCTGATAACACTGGATGAATGTAAATATATCCCTCATAATATTGGAAAACAATACATACTGTATTTATTGTCTAAACAAGTGAATTGTGTGGTTTTCTTTTCATCGTGGCTTTTTCACACAATCATACAAACCAGGTATCAGACCTAAAAAATAAAGAAAATATTTAATAGATAATACATCTGATGAAAGGGAGTAAAAAGTATTTTTCTCCAAAATGCTGTTGCTCATATTAGATTATTGATACTGTAAAGATAAGGACCACAAACACATTCCTCACAGTGAACTAAGTTAACCATACCTCTTTAAATCACATCTAATTCATAGCTTCATTCTTATGATATTTTGACAAATCAACACAAACACATGGACAGACTTAACCTTTTATTTTGTATGAAATAGTGTGACGCACACCTCACGTTAACTGAAACCGAGAGGGCAGCAGAAACTAGGTGAAAAGGAAACAATGGCAGTATTGAAAGTCCAAGGATTGGGTAAAAAAAAAGTGTAAGGGAGTGTACAAGTCTATGAAGAGTGTGACAGTATCTAGGGGCAGGGGGTCAGTGCCGCCATGAGGAGCTCCATCTTGTACACAAAGTTGCGGCCCTCCATCTTGCTCCAGTGGACCTCCTTGCTGGGCCCTCGGAGGTGGCTCCACTTGGGGTCCTGGATGACGTCGCTCTTGGGCAGCTCTTTAGTCTGGCTGCGGGGGAACTGGACCAAAACTTTGCACCCGCTCTCTGGGCCGTTACGCACTGAATGGAAAACAGATACACATATGTTAATACTGGCATACTTGGTGGTAATGTGAGATAATGAGAACATTCAGTATCACTGTCCTGGGATACTGTTATAGATAACAACCCTTCGTAAGTTCTTTTGAGGTGAGGTGATGTGATTTTCTCTCAATGATCCTTCGACTTGTTTCAACCCGTCAGTCTGGTCTCATGTGATTTAAGAGCTGAGACTGGGTGTGGCCTAGTTGCATTAAGCAAGAGCAATGCATGAGTTGCTTCACCTGCTCAGGAAAAAGGAAAAGTGTGTAAGCCTTTTTGTTCAAACTGCAACAGGTCTCATCTCTGCTGCTTTGAATTCTGGTCAATTACGGCTAATTGTGACTTACATATATTTGTTTAATTCTCATGCATTTCTTCCCCTGTGACTGTTTAATGACAGCACATTTGAGTTTTGAAAATGACTATCTTGTTGTTTGGTTCAGAGATACCAATATGGAAATCCAATAAAACTGATAAGTCAACATTATTAAGCCATCAAGCTAGTTAGTTAAGCTTGATCTCTGGCAAGTTATCAAAGCTTTACCTGTAAGATGATTTAAACAAATCAGATTATCATTTATTCAGAAAGAGAGGTTAACTTCCTATGTGGATGTTTACAACACTCTTCTCTAGGGCTGCCCCCAATTAGTCGACTAAACGTTAACCGGCCAGAAAACCCCTCACCCTTCATTCAGAGCCGTGCCTGGTCCCTAAGGTAACTGTCAGTCAGGATACAAAGTGTGGGATCTCTCTGAGCGCGTAAAGGGCGACCTCCACAAGGTGACAGGAAAAAAAGTCTCCTCCATATCCTGCCATCAGAGCTTCATTATCCCCGAGTGTTACTTTCTGAGACTGAGGAAAACCAGCAGCAGTGAGTCAGGCAGTAGCCAAGCTTTGTATCAACATATAGACCAGGGGTCTGTAACCTTTTTGACCAAAAGAGCCATTTTGCTCCTTTTTCCCAAATCATTTTTTGTCTGGAGCCGCAAAACATATTTCATAGCTTGATAGCTAATAAAGTTGTATTTATTGTTATATCAGACAAAAACTACAGTTTTTTTTGCATTTATTAGGCTATTTATTACATTATATAAAACTGTTAACCTCTAATAAGAAACAAAGAACTCCTATAAGGAGAATTACAAATAATACACAGGCCTACTTTAAAATATACACATTTGAAGGAAAAAAAATATTATTAAAATGTGCCCACTTTGAAATAAATAAAACATATAGCTGCACCCTAAAAAGAGTTAAAGGTAGGGTAGGTAAGAATGGAGAAACCAGCTCGAGTGCGCTGGAATTTGAAAATACACAACCGGAAAAAATAGTAGCCTCTTCCTTCAGACACACGAGATAAGTTTGTGCACAGATGGAAGGCTGACAGGCAGGTAGGCCATCCAGTTATTTTAGCCGGGCCGGCTAAAATGATTGGTCGTGCTTTTTACAGCGCTACGGCTTCCAGAGATTAATTTTTGTATGTATTTATTGTCAAAGCATTTAATATATTCATTGCTATCGGGACGTTAGGAGCATTCCATGGAATATAACAAAAAGTGTTTTCTGAAATAAATTACATACCCCATTGAATTATGACTGAAGATCGTCAGCTGTCTTCCTCTCCCTTGTTGTTCCTTGATATGTAAAGGCTGCAGCACCGTTGACAACTTCTCTCTACATATCAAACATACCGGTAAACCAGCATCGTTTGCTGTGAAAACAGATAACTCTGTCCACGCAGAATTAAATCCTGTGTTCCTCCGGTACTTTTCTTTGATTTATCCATAGTTCGCTCATCGAGCCGGGGGTCCCCGCGCGAGCGCCTCCAAGAAAAGGCGCTCGCGCGGGACCGTAGCAGGATGTGACGCATATTTTAGTTGACCTAATTAAAACCGTTTTTTTTTTTATTTATGTGTCACAGTATCACCTCAAAATACGAAACATTTTCAACCGTGCAACAAAATATAAATAGTCCTACAAATACTTTTATTTTATTTCCTTCTTATTTTTGTCTAAGCTCAAGGGAGCCAGAGCAGAGGGCTTAAAGGGCCGCGGGTTGCCGACCCCTGATATAGACCTATAATATATAATCATTATGACCTCAGAACCCAATAAATTAAGTCTTTCATTTCATGATGAGGGCGTAATGTGCGGAGGTATTTTTGGAGTAAATGCTCAGTGTGTGTGTGTCCTCGCTGCTTGTTCCGACATATTAAGAATCCTTATCGGAGCTTCTGCCGTTTATCCCGCTAAGGTTCATTACTACAGTTTTATTTTATATTTTATGAGAAGCACAACGTACCATGCCTTTGAAACTGAGATCATTTTTGGAGACAAAATGTATAAATAATATCAATAATCATAATATAAATGCGATGATTAGTCGACTAATCGCCTGAATCGCCGACAATTGGTTAACTAGAAACATTTTTAGTCGGGGGCAGCGCTACTTGTCTCACCTGAGATGGCGTACTCTCCGTTGGGAGAGGCGACGGTGACAGCCGAGGCGTTCCCGATGCTCTCCACCGGGCCCAGGCCCACGTGGTTACTGAAGCTGAGGACCTGCCAGCCCATCACTTTGGCCAGCTGCTGCACTGCATGCACCTGATGCTGAGACATCTGGGGACAACGACATTACTGCTGCATTCATGTGTGTGTAGCATTCTGTTCTAGAGATTTAAGGTTGTGCTCCTTTTCATTCTTTTATACACTATATAGCACTGTTGTCCTGGGAGAACTCAATTTTACAATATCTCTAAAAGTCAAACAGCCCTATTTAGAGCTTTGTAATGATGTATTTATCAGCTAATCCAAGAGGCTTTTTAAATAGTGTATTTAGCTATAGATAATTAAGGGGATAATTCACAAAAAAGAAATAAAGACTTTCAAGTTGAAAATCACCATATTTTCTGATATAAGGTTTCCACTAGTCATGCTTTCTGAAAAGTAACTAAAGCTGTCAGATAAATGTAGTGGAGTAAAGAGTACAATATTTCCCTCTGAGGTGTGGAGAAGATATATAAGCTTGCATAAAACACGTAGTTACTGTACCTTGAATTTATCCTAAACGGATTTTCAACACGCTGTGAATCATTAGAATGGGATGTATATTGAAATAAACACATATACAAATGTTTAACTTCCGCCCATGTTGCCAGATCTGTCGCTCGAACAAAATCGAGCCAGATGACCTGAAAACCGACTTTAGCAAAGGAGTGGGAGGCTCTGTGCTCCAGCAAAATAGACGGAAGTTAAACATTTCTCATTTACTTATGTACTATGCACTGGAGTAGTTACAGTTACATTCCACAACTGATTATTACTAGTACCAGGTAACAATCAGACTATGTGTACCTCAGGGTCCACACACACAGACACACCTGTGAGAGCAGGAAGTCTTGCAGCTCCTGCTCCTGGTGCGACAGAGTGACCACCCGTCCATCTCTGTGCACCACCCTGATCTGCTCCACACCAATGTTCAGCTGCAGCTGGATGGACCTAAACACACAGACAAGTGTTTAAGTTATGATTTGAGCATTATGTCAGTGCATAAAAGGCATTTAATAGGCTTTATATTCTATGACAGCCACAGTAAATACCTACTTCACACCCATGCATTCAAAATAACAGCTTTCCATCAACAAATTAAGTTTTAAGTATAAGTGATTAACTTCTTTGTGGAAAAAAGGGAAATGAATGGTTATTGTATCGGCTTAAAAACATCCATGATAGGCATCCCCAAAATAAATTGGTTCCTAAAAAGGAGACAACTTTTGGGATGACGTTAGGGGTGGGCGATATGACGATGTATATCGTCGAGACGATATTAGGTCCCCACGATATGCCTTTTCAGAGATATCATATCTATCGTGATACAGAGAGTCACTCAGTCATAGAATGTGAGTGCTGCGAGTGCACCAGGGTAGGATTTTCACGTCGGCCACGTCTGGCCGTGAACCCCCGAAAATAATTGTACGTCCTACGGCCACCATGGCCTGTGTGCCCCTGATACTGTTAAAATCTCGAAGTTTCTTTAAAAGCGTCAGAACAGTGGTTTCTGAACTGCATTATGCTGCGTTCACAACGGACGTGATGCGAATATTCTCACCCTAACCGCTGGAGTTTCACCGTG